TCGCGCGGCCGCGTTCTGTACTAGCTGAAGTCGCCGGATGCTCTTCAAGGGCAGCCCCATGTAGAGCACATTGCAGTATTCCAGCCTAGGAGTCAGGCAATCTAAATAAATGAAGTGAGTTTCCTATAAAATATTTCTCTAGAAAGTGCAAAAGAAGTTGTTTTGAAATGAACCATGTAAATATCAGTCAAAATTCTTCTCCCTGGTCAGACATATTGCATCATCTTTGACATGTGAAGTGATAATGCATTAGGACTATTGCTATGGAATATTCAATTGGTGTTTTTTTTTTAAATAACACAGACGAAATCTACCTGGTGACAGGCAGAAAGCTCTAGATATCATGATACCTCTAGTGGAGCAGGAGAGCCAAGTTGCTTCTGATATGTACTGTCTTGTGGGGCGAATTTATAAAGATATGTTCTTGGATTCTGGGTTTACAGACACTGAAAGTCGAGATCAAGGAGCTTTGTGGTAAGTACCACTTTACCACGTGTCTGTATGAGTTTATTTTTTTGATGTTAAAAATGATGTTTTGATGTTGTGTTTTATTCTTCAAATGCATTTCTGAAGCAGTCTTATATGTGGATTAATAAATATAGGTAGTCCTTGGCTTACGACCACAGTTGAACCCAAAATGTATGTTGGTAAGTGAGACAAATTTTGACCAATTTTATGACCTTGTGTACCACAATTCTTAAGTGAGTCATTGCTGTTGTAACATGATTGTTAAGTGAATGTGGCTTCCCCATTGACTTTGCTGGTCAGAAGGTCGCAGAAGATGGTCACATGATCCACACTGCAACCGTCATATATTGTTATGTTTAAATTTTGATCATGTGACTATAGAGATGCTGCAACAGTCGTAAGTGTGAAAAACTATCATATAGTAGGGATTGCTATAGCTTATTGCAGCCTCTGCAAGCCCCATTTTCCCCGTTTGCTGCAAGGAGGTAAATTGCTGAGAGGCGGAGGCCAAAAGGTTGGGGCCGATGGGTGGGTGGGGCTACATTCAGTGTATAAGACGCACCCAAATTTTCACCCTCTTTTAGGGGGAAAAAGGGGTGCGTCTTATAGTACGAAAAATACAGTATATATTTGACTGGTTATAATAAATTAAATCAGAAATTTCAGATATAATTTTATTTTTGATTATTTATTTTATTTTCCATTTAACTTGTTTTTGCCTGTTGGAGAAATCTTAATGGGCCATATGCAGTCAATAATAAAATAATAGAAATAATATAATGTACAGTACTATGGAAATCTTAGTTCATTGTATCTTAATCACAACCATTGTACAAGCACTAATTTAAGAGCAGATTAGACTCATACGCTTTCTGTGATCGTCACATAGTTATGGAACATTTTTTTCTACCCTTGATATCACTTCCATGTCCTCAGAAGAGTTTGTTTCCTAATCATTTCCTAGGAAATTGTTCTGTTTGGTTTATTATTCTATTTAATGTTTTATTAGATTGCTTTGAAGACACTGAAAGATATAGTTCTTTAAAAATTAAAAAAATCTCTGGGATGTCACAAAACAATTCCTGATCACAATTGACTGTACTTTTTAAATGAAAAGCTGTTCGATGTTGGCAAAGATGAGAAAATATAGCAGTTTTTTTTTAAAAAAATATTTCCATTCACTTTAGATAATTTTAGCTTTATGCAAAAGTGGAGGGTTCTTTTTATAATGATTCCTCACCAGTATTTCCTTATATTCTGCTAATCGAATAGAAGGTATGGTCATCCTGCCATCTATATTACAAAGACTCATTTCATAATTGAGTGTAGACTGCACACCTGTTTGGAATCAGTGATATATTTTTTTTGCCATCACAATTCTACCTTCATCACACGCAAATATATAAAATTATTTTGAAATGCCCACTGAAGCATAATCCAAATCCCTGCAGCTTATTTTTCTGTCTTTTCTTGTGATCTGCTTGTTTTTACATGGAGAACTAGAATGAATGCTGCTAGGCGATAAGATTTCGGTTAATATCAATACAAAGATAAGAGGTTAATTATTAGCTGTCAGATTTTTCCTGTGGCTTTTTATGCTGACCTCATAAACTGGGGGAAAGTATTATTGTCAGGAGACTGACCAACAAGCCAGGCAGAAGTTAAATTGCCAGCTTCCAAGCCAGCATTATACTAAGAAAGCAAATTATAATAGATGGGGAAAGAACAAAAAAAGGAGAAGAGGTACTAGAAACTGAAGAGATAAAACAATTTGCCAATAACAAATCAATAGCCGAATATTCTGGACTGTTGTTACACATGTTCAGGACAGTTAAGAATACTAAGGACAGTTGTTGAATTACAGTGATTTTGGATAGTGAATATATTTACATCAATTCCTTTTCCATGGTCCATATCAGCTATGCAACAATTGGAGAAGTGCTCCTCATCACTGTGAAGTTATAAAAGAGTTGCAAAAGCTCCCCTCAGGGCTGTGTGCTCAGCTCCTAATTGTACTCGCTGTAGACATATGACTGCATATCCTCTGGTCCATCCAACATCATAATAAAGTTTGTAGATGACACAGCGGTGCTGGGTTTCATAACTGGAGGGAACAAATCAGCATATAGGGAAGAAGTCCGCATGGTGCTCAAGAAACAACTTATATCTAAATACTAGTAAAACAAAGGAGATGGTGGTAGATTTCCTGAAGCACAGAGAGGAACCTGCTCCACTGTATATCGAGGGGGGCTGTGTGGAGAGGGTTTACTCTTAATTCTTGGGAGTGCTTATTACTCAAGATCTCACCTAGAAAAACAATACGTCCCTGGCTCAACAGAGACTTCATTTCCTTAGAGTCCTGTGAAAAACTCAGGTGGAACAACGGCTGATGACTCTTTCTATCGGTCCATCATAGAAAGTGTCCTCACATATTGCATTATAGTATGGTATGCTAGTTTAACAGCTGCGGACAGGAAGGCACTACAGAGAGCGATCAATTCAGCACAAGAAACCATTGGTTACCCTCTAACACCACTGGATGACATCGCCAGGTCTCACTGCTTTAGCAGAGTAAGAAAGATACTCAGAGATGATTCACACCCTGGTCAGTGTCTCTTTGCACTTCTACCATTGGGCAGAAGACATCAAAGTATAGCCAGCTGAACAGATAGATTTAAAAATAGTTTCTATCCTTGGGCTGTCAGACTTTTACAACCACAATCACTCCATGCACATACGGAAACATGACTAGTTTTTTCTTTTCTTTCTTTTTTTGTTTCCGCTATAATTTTGCACCAGTGAGGCTAAAACCAATTTCTTGTATTTTGTACAATGACAATAAATACTACACTATCCCAAAAGGTCACTGATTACCTATCACTGCCTTCTCTTTCTGCTGATGCCCGTGGCCTCTCCATTGAACAGCATAACTGGATATAGCAGCTGCACAATAGAAAAAGGACCAAATGGTTGAACAGTTGTCACAGCTCTGAGCATGCCCATATTGGCTGAATGAACACAGCAAGTTCCTTCTTCTGCAGCTACATCAGGCCAAGCCGTCGTTCATTATACTTATTTAATAAGAAACCATGACTAGTTTCCTGCCTAAGCTGCAAATCATGGTTCAAAATCACAGTGACAGTATTCACATGGCATTGTAATCCATAACCAAACGAGCAATATTATAATTTGCATTGAATATGCTAATATGAATATGGTGTAAAATGAATCTGCCATACCACCTATTTATTTCAGATTCATATTTTCATATCAGATGGAGAAAAGGATAGCCATCGTCATAACTGGCAAGCAATATTTTAGTAGGAAAGGTTTATTCTTCCACAGGAAAATAGAAAGAGAGAATTTGACTGCCATTTCTCCTGTGGGTTTGACTGTTGTAGTGCAATCATCCTGATTTTTGATGCCAGCTCTGAATTGATAGAGTCTGGGGTTGTCTTTCTGCCTGGACTTTGCTTTTTCCTCACACCCCTTGTGATGTTTTGAAAACTTGTGACTCTCATGAACATTTGAACGGGATTAAAAATTAGCAGAAATAATAGCGTTTCTCAGAGAGATTTTTTTGTGGGACTGAGGGTGATATGGGATGTCTTAAATCATTAGCACTCCTTTTGCTTTTCTTTGCCCTTTTTAACGTTAGCTTAGGAAAATGTAGTCAGTCAACCATAGTCAACAGTTGTAATTATTTTATGTGATAAAGAGTTCTGGAAAATGCCCAAATCTTACCGTAGTTGTTTAAATGCAAACAACTCAGAGACTTAACGCTTGTGGGCTCTATCCCAGCTAAAATATTTCTTCTGATAGCTGGCACTGCAGCAAAGCCTCTTTGCCCCAGATATACAAGCTATCCATTTGGCAGATCTAGCTATTTCTTTCCTAGCACATTCGGTTTTTACTTAAAGAGTAAGAGAAAGTATTTCAGTCTTCAGTAGGTTACATTCTAGAAGAGATACTTTACTTGCAAAAGATCTCTTTAACATAACTCTTTTGCAGCAATAATAGCACTAATTGTGCTTGAAAGATTATATGGATTTTTAGAATGAAGATGGTGGTAGTCCCCCTTTTCACTGGATTCTTAGCCATTGCCTTTAACCTTGTCTTGCAGCACTTAGAAAGGATATAGAAAGAAAATGATGGGCGTGGTATTTTACCTTCCATGCAGCATTGGTCCATCCCTGTCCTCTTACACTGCTATTTAGGGCTATTGCTGATCAAGAGCAGTATATCTGGCAAATACGTACAGTATTCTTCTGTTTTCTGCTTTGTTTACTACACATATCGGTGTACCAATAATTTTTTCTAAATAAACAGGGAATTGTCCTTATTAAATGAGTTCTGTAATAAATGTTCACTTTTGAAATATTCAGGACTGTATCTAATGGGTAACCAAATGAACAAAGAGATTTTAGTGCAGAGACGAAGTGGCAGAGCCCAACTTCCTATCCATTTCTTAAATGGAGAACTCTCAGAAAGTCTTCCTTTACATCAAGGAAAGGATATATCTTAATCATCTCATGATCTTAATGCCAAAGTGACAAAATTAGTGGACCAGAGGAATGCCATCAATATAGTTTACTTGGACTTCAGTAAGGCATTTGATAAGGTAGACCATAATCTACTACTAGATAAAGTAGTAGAATGTGAGTTGGACAGCATCACCACCAGATGGATTCGTAACTGGCTGACCAACCACACTCAACGTGTAGTCCTCAATGGAACTGCATCTACATGGAAGGAAGTATGCAGTGGAGTACCCCAAGGCTCTGTTTTAGACCCAGTACTCTTCAATATCTTCATCAATGATTTGGATGAGGGAATAAATGGGGAACTCATCAAATTTGCAGATGACACCAAGCTGGCAGGAATAGCCAACACTCCAGAAGATAGGCTAAAGATACAGAAGGATCTTGACAAACTTGAACATTGGGCACTATCTAATAAAATGAAATTTAATGGTGAAAAGAGTAAGGTTCTACATTTAGGCAACAAAAATGAAATGCACAGGTACAGTATAGGTGGTACCTTGCTTAATAGTAATAATTGTGAGAGGGATCTTGGGAGTCCTAGTGGACCACCATTTAAATATGAGCCAGCAGTGTGCAGCAGCTGCCAAAAAAGCCAACACAATTCTAAGCTACATAAACAGAGGGATAGAATCAAGATCACGTGAAGTGTTAATACCACTATATAATGCCTTGGTAAAGCCACCTTGGAATACTGCATTCAGGTTTGGTCATCATGATGTAGAAAAAATGTGGAGAGACTAGAAAGAGTGCAGAGAAGAGCAACAAAGATGATTAGGGGACTGGAGACTAAAACATATGAAGAACGGTTGCAGGAACTGGGTTTGTCTAGTTTAATGAAAAGAAGGACTAGGGGAGACATGATAGCAGTGTTCCAATATCTCAGGGGTTGCCACAAAGAAGAGGGAGTCAAACTATTCTCCAAGGCACCTGAGGGTAGAACAAGAAGCAATGGGTGGAAACTAATCAAGGAGAGAAGCAACTTAGATCTGAGGAGAAATTTCCTGACAGAACAATTAATCAGTGGAACAGCTTGCCTCCAGAAGTTGTGAATGCCCCAACACTGGAAGTCTTTAAGAAGATGTTGAATAGCCATTTGTCTGGAATGATATAGGGTTTCCTGCCTAGGCAAGTTGAACTAGAAGACCTCCAAGGTCCCTTCCAACTCTGCTATTATATTTGTATTAAAGTAGCCTCCTCTCAGAAGGAGAAATACTGTCCCTTCTCCTTATATTTGACAGAATTCTCATTTGCGGTTACCAAATAAAGCAACAGGAATGACAGAAAAAGCAGGAATAAATTATAATGTGCCTGTCAAACAACTTAATCATAAATAAAGAGCATATTTTTTAAAATTAGAAATTAGTATTTTGATAATCTAAACATACTTTTTGTCATACTTCAGAGAAATGCAGGAAATAAAATATGAGAACACTTTTAACATAATTACAAAATCAAACATACATACATACGACAGTAGCCTTTTTTGCAGACATTTCACTTCAACTCCAATAAAAGTTTCAATTAAAATAGGGACAACAAAATTGGGCTATTGTCATCTAAGAAATCTTTAATAAACTAACAGCAATAAAATCAGTGCAGTAACTATTCAAACACAAACACACGCACACACACGCACACACAGAGGGGGGGGAGAGGGAGGGAGAGAGAGAGATTTCTGTCAAAGCACCTGGTCTGGCCAAATATGGGAGGGAGTTAAGTCTTATGGCTTACAGGTTAATACAACTGCCTAATATGTAAACAGCCCAAGTTCGAATCTGAGCCTCCATCAGCATTTGCCAATCAGACTTTTAGCTTGACTAAAAGTCTATATTCCATGTTCCTGGATTCTTCTGGATGGATAGTTCTGTGTAACATAATTAATATTCATTGTATAGCACTTACTCAACAGGAGTAAGCCTGCAGAATGAGTTAAAACATGTTAATTCTGTCATTTATAACTTTTGATGAATAAAGCTGTTAATAACTGGTTATGATGGCTAAATACGATTTCCACAATTAGAGGCAGCAGTTAGAAAATAGTAGTAAAAGACAACTGTTGTCTATGAATTTATAATAAAAAAATAAAATCAAACAATATGGGAGAGGAAGCTGACTTTTCTATATACCTACACTGGTGCTATTATTAAAATGCTTTTATGCCAATGAATTGTATACTGTATTCCTGACTAATTTGTTTATGTCTTTTCTTCTAGCTAGTATATTGCATTACCTTCTACATTTATTTCAATAAATTCATAAATAGGAGTAATCTGCTTTAAACTGTGTAAAGTGTGTGGGTTAAAATCATATTTCTAATATAAATGTCAAAAAACTTTAATATTGAAAACATATATATTTAGTTTTCACTGCAAAATAACAAAACTGTTGCAAAGCTATGTAGTTTTCATAATTGCAAAAACACAGAAAGAAAAGAGAGGAAGAAGGATGTATGTGTTTGGGCTCATAAAATAACCATGAGTTGGAATATAACAGAAGATGTTATGCTTGGATAAGTTAGTTGAGTTGTATTAAAGTGATTGTGGTAATCATTTAAGAATATCCCAAATTGCCTCTTAATGAATTACTTTTTAAAGAAATGTTTTCTCTTTTAGGTTCAAGAAGGCATTTGAGTCAGAACCATCATTGCAGTCAGGAATTAATTATGCAGTCCTCCTCTTGGCTGCTGGGCATCAGTTTGATACCTCTTTTGAATTACGGAAAGTTGGTAATTATAGCTTACTGATTCACAAGCAAATCAAATTCAGTGACAAGATATTTACCACCTTCTGTTTTATGGGAAGCAATGTCATTGTTGAAGTCACAATTTCTTCTTTCTTAGCCATTTCTTCATTTCAAATACATCATCTATTACGAGAGCATACATGCATACATACATCCACATGCTTTTACCAAGTGATCTGCTTTGAGCAAATTCAGTTTTTTAGAATAATGTTTTCCCTATAGATCTGTGAGCAGAGATGAATAAACTCTGTTGATTCTTCTGAATAATTTTATATTGAAATTTGGTCCAGTGAAATCTTCCATGCCATTATTTTCCCTTACTATATTCTATGTGAAGAGCAAGAAGTGTTTCTAATTATAAGTGTAGAATCCGTAGGAATTAGCTACCTACAATAAAATTTCCATTTTTCCAGCAACATTAGGCCATTGGGTATTATTATACAAGGTATTATTAAATAATACAGGTAGTCCTCAACTTTGAACCACAATTTAGCCCATTTATGTTGCTAAACAAGACAGTTATTGAGTTTTGCCCCATTTCATGATGTTTCTTGCCACAATTGTTAAGTGAATCATTGCAGTTATATTAGTAACATGGTTGTTAAATGAATCTGGCTTCCCTACTGGCTTTGTTTGTCAGAAGGTTACAAAACGTGATCACTTGATGGCGGGACAGTAGGATACTGCCACTGTCATAAATATGAGCCAGTTGCCAAACAGCTGAATTTTGATCAAGTGACCGTGATGATACCTCAATGGTTGTGTGAAAAATGGTCATGCGTCATTTTTTCCAGTGCCATTGCAACATCACTAAATGAATGCTTGTAAGATGAGAACTACCTGTATAGCAGGCCAATTTTCTAATTTACTGAGAAACAGAAAAATCTCAGTTCAATTTTATAAACTTCCCACTGAAACCTTGATGAAAGAAATGAAGGTTGCTTCATAGCAATAATTTTTTGACTTCTGTTGACAGCACATCCTTTTTTATCAGTTTCTGCTAGCTCCCCTTAAATCCCATTATTTTGTTTTTGACCTTATCTCTGAGGTTAGTAAAACTTGTGCAGAAATGAAGAGGGAGTCATAACTGTATGAAAACAATGATATCCTGAAATTAGGCAGCGGCTCCGTTTTTACATTTGTAATACTGTAGTGAGTAACAACCTCTGCTGAGGTTTATCAAAATTATTAAATTTGAAAGGCATATGTCTATATTCCTCAGTCTGACAGTTTCTATATGGGTTAGGGTTCTGAGTTCCATAATTCCCACGATTACAGCTAAAATACAATTTAATTTCTTTAGGAGTTAAAATAAGCAGCCTACTTGGGAAGAAAGGAAACTTGGAGAAATTGCAAAGTTATTGGGAAGTAGGCTTTTTCCTGGGAGCCAGCGTCTTGGCAAACGATCACACGAGAGTGATCCATGCCTCAGAAAAGCTATTCAAGTTGAAGACACCAGCATGGTAAGCAATACTTTCTTGTGCCATTAATGTACATTTAATTTTCAGATTAAATGACATTGCATTCTAAAGACATTGGTAACGCTACGTAAATAAACCATTTTCTACACTACACTGACACCTGAAGATAAAAGTACAGAGTACATAAAATGTGTGTTATCCAGGTATCCTTCTACTTCTTCCTCGCCCCCACCCCCCAAGTAAGCACTTGATTCTGGATTCAAACTGTGAACTACAGAAAGAAAGAAAAAAATCAATGTTACTTAAATCCAGTTTAACAGAATTTGTTCTCAACTTGAGTGAAAAGATATTAAAAATTATCCTTGCTGTCATGATGTTGAGTTTTGCAGCCCATATATACTAATTCTACAGAACAGTGGTAACAGAAGAGATAGTTCAAAGGCGAGTCTACCAGAGAATGGAAGTGGATAAACGACAAACTTTTAAAAAAACGGACTTATCCAGTTTAATTCTATACATCTGACCCCACTTTATACCTCTTGTAGGCAGATCATGGTTATTTAGAAAATTTTATAAATAATTTTGATGAACTGTCAGCCCATGTAAATATGGGTACAATGTTCAGCAGACCTAGAATAGGTCTGGGGCTATTTCCTTGTCTCCCCTTATTCTAATTCTTTTATCATTCCAGTTTTAAATCAATAAGAGGTTAATGAAGAGTTGACACAAGTGGTTATTTTGCAGTGTGTAGCTTCTGCTTGATGTTCTACTCAAGGCTAGTTTGTTGGGCCAATGAGAGATTTTGGTATGGTATTTACTTTTTAAAAGACAATAAGCAATAAGATAGCAAGCAGCAATAAACAATAAGATAGCAAGCAGATCTGGAACAATGGTTCTTTAGCTGATTTTCAGCAAAAAAAAACCTATGTCAGACATTTTGCTGGGTTCCAAGATGAGAAAAATGGATTTTAGTTGCTAGGCAACTATAATTCCCTGAATCAATTTGAGTTAAAATTGGGGAGTGATTGAAACCAGATCCGGAGAAGAGATAAGAGAATCATCTTATGTTCTATTTCCATCTTTATTTATCCATACAGGCCTTTATGTTCATTCAGGCTTCAATTCAGTGAGTTCACTTCCATTTATGATGCACCCACCTTTCTGGAAGTAAAATAATTCTTAGAAGTAACCACTAACATGGAAGTATTTTCTCGGCCCAAAAAAAGAAGTGCACTTATTAATTTTAAGAATGGGGGGGGGGAATATGTTTCTTTCTGTCTGTAAAGTAGTAGGGAATTTATCCAGGACAGTGTGATTTATATTATCTTAAGCACAATGGAAGGTAGAAGCTATTAAAAAAAACAGTGGAGTATCTGCTTGTGGGAAAAGAGGGCTCTGTACATGTTTACCCAGCCAATCAGTTTTGTGATGTGCTTTTTGGTCTGTGTAGAAAAAGAATAATATAAAGATTGCAAGCAATAATATAAAATGCTGCAAACTAGCCTTTGTTTTCTCCTGGTTTCTCCTAGGTATCTTAAGTCCATTGTGGAAACCATTTTGATATATCAGCACTTTAAGAAGCTAAATCCAGATCAACAAGTAGGCAAAAATGAACTTGTAGACTTTTGGATGGATTTTCTAGTTGAGGCTACAAAGACGGATGTCTCTGTAGTTAGATTTCCCGTAAGTATAATTTAAACACTGTTCATTTCCTGTTTGTCTTGCTACATGTTATTTGGAAAGAGAAGTGCTTTAATTTGAAAGGCAATAAATTAAAAAAAACATAATTAAATTGATCTTTATTAGATGCAGACATCCTGCTTTTCCTACAAAGAACACGGTTCTACAGTTTTAGCTTCAATGTCACAACAATTCTGGTGAAAAGATTATGATTATGCGCTTGAATTTCATTTCTGAATGAGGAATTGAAGATAGTTTGTAGTCTATCATTCTAACTATTTTACCACTTAAATAATTTGAACTGTCTTTTCTCTTTACAACAGATTGAAACATTTTATATATAATTCAATTAGTTTTAACAGTTGCCCTATTAAATGCTGTATGAATTTCCTTTCTCTCAATTTTTGCAGTTATAACAGAGCAATTGTGTGAAGCAAATGGGATAGAGTCAGATATCATTTTCCATCTACTTACCTATTACAGTGATTATACCATTTTCATTCCATAAATGAATTTTTCACCACTTATAACACTATCTTCAGTTCATAGTTGATAGCTATTGAGAAATCTATGCTTTAATTGAATATTATTCCAATATTTTGGTTGGAACTAAATGTTTTGTTTCCAGATTGTATATTCACCTACTGTATGATTTCATACATAATACTTGGCAAATGAGTACCTTACTGTTGTTTACCTTTTCACTATCAGTTCCATCCTGTTGTTTTTCATACATTGTCATTTGAGACCTATTGATCCTTCCCTGCTAAACTAACCTCAGCTGGGGATCTGGTATTCACAGTCATTTCAAATACATTTTTTGCTTGCTCAGCCCTTGACTTCATCATAATGTATGCTCTGAACTTATCAAAATAATCAACAGCATAAATCTTGCTTTGTATTTCCTAAATTGGAATGAATGCAAGCTAGTTTCTACTTTTACAAAAGCTGCAATCTTGTGATCATTACTGTCTTTTACAGTTTTTCTTTATTTTTATGCATGATTTTCATCCTGCTACACCTGTTCCCCTCTACAAAATATTTTTCTCTTCCTTTCTCATCCCACCTTCCCCACAAAGATTTTCATCTGTGTATTATCATAGAATCTCATCGAATCGGAGGAGAGTCTATCAACAATAGCTAACCTGGGCTACAATAGCTTTTTTATCATCAGATAAACCAAGGCCATTGTAACTCTTGACAATTTATTGAGCGGTAAAAGTGGCATTTTTACCTCATGTCTTATCAGGCTTTTTATTTATTGAAGCAGCAATTTTCATGTTTTCTTTTAGTTTTTCCTCCCTGGAAAAAGAAAAAAAAGGAATTGACAGTCTCCTAGCCTTCTTCTGTACAATATTTGAATTTATATTGAAATTAATAAACAGTTACTAACTTTTATTTTATAATTTTTGCTTGAAGGTTTTGATATTGGAACCTACAAAAATCTATCAACCTTCGTACTTGTCGATAAATAGTGAAGCTGAAGAGAAGACAGTCTCTATTTGGCATGTTATGCCTGATGATAAGGTAAGCTGTCTTCCTTGCATCTTAAGAAGAAAAAGGAATGTTTCCTTTTTCATCTTACCCCTCAATGTTTACTCTGTTACAGTGTAGGAGCTAAAGGATTTTTTTTTCTTACTAAAGGAAATTACTAAACACCAAAGAACCTTTGGTATTTGAGGGAGGAAAGATAATGGAATATGACAATCAAGAAACTTAAGGAAGAGGAAGTAATAGATGCTGGGAAATAATATTAAGCATAATATGAAGAGCCAATTTGGTGCAGGTGTTAAGGTATCAGGCTAAAACTGGGAAACTTGAGTTCTGATTCCACTTTACACACAAAGACAGTTGGGGGATATTCTCACAGTTCTAAGAAGAAGGCAAGGGCAAATCATTTCCAAAACTCTTTGCAAGATAACTGTAGAGACTAATCCAGGCAGTCACCAGGAATCAACAAAAGAGAGAAAAGTATAGCATGCTCATACAAAATATTTCAGGGTTAGTGGCTCTGTTATATCAAGTTAAGATTATTGGCTCATCCAACTCACCAATTTGCAGTTCTATAGAGGTCGTTTTCGCCCTCCCCAGGTTTCAGGAAAGCCTCCGGAGGCTGAGGAAGGCGAAAAACTGCCCTAACGGGCCAACCGGAAGTTTGGAAACATACATTTTTGGCCATTTTTGCTCTCCCCAGGCTTCAAGAAAGCCTCTGGAGCCTGGGGGGTATGCAGGCGTATGTGCATGTGTATGGGGGGGGGTTGCGTGTGCACATGCAGGTGGATGGGAGGATTGAATTGGTGTGGGCACACGTGCACCCACGATAGCATGCCAACCACAACTTTGGCACACCATAAGAAAAAGGTTTGCCATCACTGAACTAGGATGAAGGGTATGACTAATAGGGCTTTTTTCTTTCACGCCAATAAGAATTTTAGTTTCATGTTTAGGTTATTATTAGAATGTATGATACATGTAAGCATGACACACTATTCAAGCCAGAACTGAATAGAAAAGCTAAAATGCTTTTAGAGGTAAAAGGGCAAATGCTATCATTTCTGGAAAAAAAAGAATTAAGTGAAAGAAATGATAGAAAATATAGAAAATGTGATAGATTTCATGGGATTTTTTCCCCTTAAATAATGGTATTTACTTAAATAATGGTAGTCTGAAACATGGCAATTTTGGGTCCTAGAATGTATGCACTATGCTGAAATGCATCACCAGAACTCCAAAATTAAATATATGAAAATGTACAATTTAATAACACTAAAATACTATTGCCAAATTATATCAAATGTTGGTGTTCTTGCCATATTTTGGTATTCTCAAAACAGATTTTTGGAGTAAGATAAAAAAAATCAAGATTTGGTGGTCCTCAGTGAAATATTGAGCATTTTTAAATTTGATCTTTTGTCTTTCATCTATCTTTTCTTTATTAAAAATGCAGTAATTTTTGAAACATTCTAAAATATAGATTACAGGTAGTTGTCATTGAACAACATCAATTGGGACCAGAATTTTTGTTGCTAAATAATGCTGTCATAAAATGCAATGTTACATAACCACACCTCTTAGTGACAGAAATTCCAGTAATTCTGGTTGCCATTATTAAGCAAATCACTGCAGGTTGTTAAGCAAGGACCTCATATTGTTGCTGTTTGCAACCTCCCACCGGCTTCCCCATGACATTTCTTCAACTAAAGAAGGCCACAAATGGCAATCAAATGACTGTGGGGTTGTTGTAATGTAGGTCATAACTACTGTTGTTCAGCACCATCATAAGTTCAGTCGCTGAACAAATCTTTGTTAATTAAGGATCACCTATATGCTATTCAACCCTTCACTTCCTGTTATATTGAACAAAATTATTATTGCAATAACTCATAAGTAGGATAAACCTAGCTTACATTTTAACTTATGTTTGGTGGCCAGATTGGTTGAAGTGACCATCCATCTGTAGCATTTTGACATCTCTAAATCACATTGCTTTCTTACCAAGAAAGCAATCATCCCGAGTCTAGAATTGGGTGGGCAAGCCTTAGAAATCATGGATACATATAAATTTTTCTGACAAGCTTGAGGGCCACATTATCCACAGAATAATGATGCAAAGTGAAGAGAAGAAATCATTTGTGGAGAATATTTCCTAACACCAGCTGCTTTTTATGTCAGTTTGTCAGCAATCCTTTTATTTTATAAAAATCTTTCTTTTTTTAGTCCATTTATGGAAAACATGGGCAGTAGCTTTTGATATATTCCGGTTTCATCGTGAAGCAAAGCTAACAACCATGTTAAAATGGAGACTCATGATTTCCAGTATGGGTACACTCAGCTTTGATCCTTAGTACAGCAGACAGTACACCAATTTGGCAAGGCTTTGCACATGTAATTATGTCTGTTTGGGAGAAAACAAATGCATCCTTCACATGGGAATAAGAATAATTTAACCCAGTGTAGAAAAACCACTCCTACTTTACTCTGTCATGCTAGGTTCCCTAAGGCAATTTTTATCTTAAAGGTTAAGAAACCTCTAGAATTTGAGCTTCATTCTGGTTTGCTATTTTTGGGTTTGCTGAGTATATTTCACTAGGCCATAATCTTGCAATGGAAGGTGGTGGGAACAAGAGTATCTGCTTCATTGGCTGATGGGGTGTCATTGGTACATATGTACTATATTCCTCAGATTATCACAGGAAAGAATTTTAGACTGACTTTATAAATTGCAGTACAGGTAATCCTCAACTTGCAGCAATTTGTTCAAAGTTACAACAGCCCTGGAAAAAAGCACCTTGTGGCTATTTTTCATATTTACAGCCATTGCAGCATCCCCATGGTCACGTGATCAAAATTCGGATGCTTGGCAACTATATGACGGTGACAATGTCCCAGATCATGTGATCAGCTTTTGTGACCTACTGTGAAGCAAAGTCAACGAGGAAGCCAGAGTTGTGTTACTAATTTAACAACTGCAATGCTCTGTCATGCTAGGTTCCCTAAGGCATTCCCTAACTGCAGCACGAAAGGTCGTAAAATGGGACAAAGCCCGCTGAACCAATGTCTCACAAATGTTAACAATATAAGTTTTGGGCTCAATTGTGATCGTTATTGGGCTGCAATAAGTTTTGTTCCCATTTTATGGGTTTAGAACAGAGACTTGGAGAATAGAGGCTTGTTTACTCTTTCTCTCAGATTACACTAACATACTAACTCTGCTGAACTTTGATGAGTGGCTTGGAAGCCTACGATTGAATGTTTATTTCACTTGGGTAGAATTTACTGGCTCTTCCTGTCCGCTGAACTGTTTGGGACATAAGCCTGCCTCTCTCCCCTGGCTGCAATACTAAGGGGTATCTAGTATTGTTCTTCCTACTGCTCTGAGTGCTACCTTAGCCCTGGTACTTGGTCTCACACTGGCTACTTCAATAGTTTTCCTGCTGCCTCTGTTTTTATTAAGCAAATAACAGATGTCAGACTTGGACAACTTTCTTAAAATGTTTACACTGGTGGACTGAAAGTTTGGCAGGATCACCAGGAAGATTGTTTCTATTTAACTTCACCCTCTTGAGAACATAATAATTAAACTGTTAAATTATTATTTTTTCTGAAAAATGTGTTTTTAAAGAAATAGGGATTCCTGAGCTTTATTTTAATGGCAACTGACTAATGAAAAATGGGTCTGTTTTTATAGTGTAATGCTTTGTCTAGGTATAATTTTCACCTCCATAATTGTTAAGAATTGAAATGGAATCTAGCAAAACGACTAAGCAAATGTGGACCAATAATAGAGAAATATCGTGTTTTGAAAGGCACCCTATGAAATAAGCAAAGAAAGAAGCTTCAAAGATTCAACCATGAAAACAAGGCAGTTCAGCAAAGAAGAATTATTATGATAACTTATCTTAATACATTATGTAGATACAGTGAACAAGTAGGTGGCAATACAACACTGACTTTGTCTGGAAGCTAAGCAGGTTCAGGTTTAATTTGTACCTGGACAGGAATATCAGGGAATACCAGAGCTCTGGCAGAACTGGAAAGTCAAAAAGTATTACAGAAGACAATATTCTCACATGATTGGTTGCAGTTAAATAGAATTACCTTTTGGTTACTTTCATTACTGTGGTTTGCTACTTTAGTTCTCATATATTGGGTATGCCTTAATGTTAAATAGTTTTTTTGGATATTGTTCAATTTATTTTTGTTATACGCTGCCCCAAAACATGCTTCAGTGTTTAAGTTGAGTAGCCCTATACATCTATCTATTTATGTGGTCACTAGGAGTTGGAACAACTTGATGGCACATAACTGACCAATCCAAAATACATTTAACAAATTCATAAATAAATGAGCAAGGCATTTCATACTTGCCAAGAAAATTGCACAAATTTATATATGAAATTATTAGGAGTCAAGCCTGACTTGAATGTAATGCCATGTGCAATTTTTATTAAAGTGGTAACTGTTTTATAAAAGGGTAAATGTAATAAAGGAAAATAACCTGCCAAGATTTCTAAGTTATAGGCTGAAATATTTTATATCATTTAACAATTACATGCTATGCTTGTTGGTTTCTTGTTACAGAAAGGTATTCATGAATGGAACTTCAGTGCTGAATCTATAAGAGGAGTAAGGTAAGTTTATATTTATTTGTCTGTGACATCTTTATGCCACCTTTTCTTTACAGAATTCAGAATTATCTCTGTAGATACTGACTATTCTATTCAATTCTTGCAATAACTGTATAATCAAGATGCAATAACTGTATAATCAAGCTGAGAAAGAGTGACTGAGTTCTATGATATAGCTCAATACAGAATCCACAAATAATAAGAAAAATATTGCATCAGTAAAATATCTTAAAACTGAGTCTGGTTACTTTCTTCTCATTACTTGTATCTTCAGGAGAAAGATTCTGATTCATGGAAAGTTAGCTGGATAAATTAATTAAGTCATTATATTAATTGTGTTATTAAATCAGATGTCATTAAATAACAGTGATATTTAAAAATTAATGAGAGACAGAAAAATATTACTCTGTTTTCACAAAGATTGCGGGAATGCAAACTCTGGGCATGGAAAACTCTCTACCACATTTCTAGATATCCTAAATAATGGCATTATGGAGCACTGAACTTATTACTAAGTAGAATCTCATTATTGAATCAATAATGATCATAATGCTGTAGCCTTTAATTGATATACATTAAATGTTTGCCAAATAATGCAACAACATCATATTTGACTTCAGAAAAGTAAACTTTAAAAGGAGATTAATAAAAAGAAAATTGATAGACAGTCAAGGGTCTGTTCTCTTCACAGTGCTTGGAGATTATTCAACTCCAGTAATGAAATCATATTTAGGATATTCATCTCAAATAAGTTCCTTCCCTCTGGAATAAGGTTCCCTCAAGAATCGAACAGCCTAATGGGGATTTTAAGGGGCCTTTGGTGAGAACAGCTGGCTCCCCTTTTCTTCTGTTCTCTTCTTCACATCTGGATTTGTTTTCTCTGCTATCTTTGTTTCTTTATTTTGAGTTTGTTGTTACTTATTTTTAAATATTTTTAACAAATTGTAAATTAACTACAGTTGCTGGGAGGCAGAATTACTACCAGTAATATAATTATGAAGGCTACGACAAAATTCAAAAGAAATCTAGATACTAGCTTTGAACAAGGCCAGAGATTATATCAAAATTAAGAAAGTTTCCTTCAGGAAGTGAATGTTTTATTCAAAGCAGAACAAAAAAGAGGCTAAATTCTGCCCCAAATTATGCTAGCTAGTAATAAAAGTTACCAAAAGAGATTTGAGAAACACATGGCAAAGAATATTAAAGTAAATAATTAAAAAAGAAAGCTTCATATGTATTTGGAATACGAACCTGGCCAGAAACAGGTTAAAGGTTGTGAAATGGAGAGAAGTTCTTTTTTATGGAACCCATACTAAAGTCAGAAAAATTGCAAACAAAGAGAAAGCAGTCCAGATGATAAACTTTGGTGCTGGTATCGTCTTATGTTTATGTTATAACTCTGTGTATGGCAGGTTTGTGTTGCTTTACAGTACACAGAATTTCTCTGAATAGCTTCCTAATTCTTTGCAGTAAAAATACTTATCTAATCTTGTTTCTGCTTGTTAGTGTAGGCCTGAAAGAAAGTTTTATAGCCATCTGTGGTATGAAGCCCTGATAATATGAAAACATTAAAGGTGTATTAAGGTAGGATAGACTAATAGCAAAGAATGAATTATTTTCTAAATAGTAAATAAACGTGTGTGTTGATGATGGTTTTTCTGCAGGTATTTGAAACAAACTAAGAATACAGAAATATCAAGAAAAAAACTACAATAAATTAACAAGCTAAAATTAAATAAATGTCCAGAGCCAGAATAGTTCTTATATATGAACTTGCTGATTTTTTTCATAAAAGTATTCAACTTCTCTTTTACAGTTAGCAAAATTTTAAAAGAGATTGAGGAAAAGCAAAGTCAAAGTTGCTTCTGTAAAAAGAGTTGCAAGTATTATTAAAGAGATAATGAGAAACATCCGTCCTCCAAACACAGATCTTGCTGATAAGAAATCAACATAGCTTTTGTAAAGAGAAATCTCACTGACTTTTTTTAGAGTAGAAGTAAATATATATGCAAGGATTACCTAATTAATAATGTAGTTGGACTTTGAGCAACTGGTGGGGGGGGAAAACAGGAAACTGGGTATTTGTTCATACAGGTCAGATTTGGCAAAAGGCATCGCCCATGTATCAAACCAGAACTGATACTTTTTAAACTCTTACAGAAATAATTTGATGTTTATTGCTAAGAATGAGGTAGCCTTGTTTGTTGAAGGAGAGCCCCCAAATGATTTCCCTCAATGAATGGTCTTCAGAGTGGCATTGTAAAGTGATACATGTGGTACAAAACAAAACAAAACTTCACTTTTTATATTAAAGGGCTCTGATCTGGCAATGAAAGAGACCATGACTAATCATAGTGCCTCACCTAGAGGTAATAGGAATAGCACTTCAACTTATATACTGCTTCTTAGTGTTTTATAGCTTTCTCTAAGCGGTTTACAGAGTCAGCATATTGCCCCCAACAATTTGGGTCCTCATTAATCCTCAACTTACAATCACAATTAAGCCCAAAATGGACCCCTAAGTGAGGCAGTTGTTAAATGAGTTGTCCCTCATTTTACGACCTTTTGCCACAGTTGTTAAGTGAATCACTGCAATTGTTAAGTGAATCGTGTGGTCATTAAGCAAATCTGGCTTCCCCCATTTGACTTTGCTTGTCAGAAGCCAGCTGGAAAGATTACAAATAATAGTCACATGACCCTGGGACAGTGTAACCATCATAAATACCTGCCAGTTGTCACGTGGCCGAATTTTGATCATGTGACCACCACCATGCTGCAATGGCCGTAAGTGTGAAAATCAGTCATAAGTCACTTTTTCAGTGCTGTTGTAATTTCAATTGGTCACTAAAGAAATGTTATTAGTGAAGGATTACTTGGAACCATTAGAATAGCCAATGTAATACCCTTATGTAAATCTATGGAATATGATCTACTTACTAGTCATACCTCAAAATGGTATTATGGAGGGGGGAAAAGTATAAAATAGCACATCTTCAAGAAAAGATTACAGCACCGGAGACACTTTGGCTTGGAAATGAAAGGAGCAAAAAGGAAGAGATAATACAGATACCGTGTTTCCCTGAAAATAAAACCCGGTCTTATATTTTTCGGGTTCCAAAATAAGCACCAGGGCTTATTTTGGGGGAAGTCTTTATTTTTTTTCCATGTATGGAGGCTCACTTCTCATGCAGGAGGCCGCATGGTGCGCCAATGCTGCCTCTGCAAGACGGGGGTGGTGGAGTTGCCCTATATCCCCTGCCCCGGCTTATCTCAGGGCTCCCACAGCCAGGCTATAAACACCCCAACAACTGCCTTGCAGTGTCCATGTCCAGTAGGACCCTGCATGGCTTCTGGTCTACTTCTGCTTGGTCATGGTGGCAACAGAACAAGAGGCCAAGCGACGCGCCGGTGCCGCAGCCCAAAGTGAGGCAGGGGGATGGAGCTGCCTCACGCACTCTGCACTAGCTTACCTCAGGGCCCCCACAGCCAGGTCATCCGCGCCCCGACAACCGCCTCACCTTGTGGCTGCAGAACCGATGTGTTGCTTGGCCTCCTGCTTCATTGCAGCCATGAGCAGAAATGGGCTGACGGCCATGTGGGCTCCTGCTTGATATGCCTGTTGGTGCTGCCGCCGTGAGGCAGTTGTCAAGGCATGGATGGCCAAGCTGCGGGGGCCCTGAGGTAAACCAATGCAGGCTTTGTGGGGAAGCTCCACTCTCTCACCTGCCTTGCCTCATGTCGTGTTGGCACCGTGAGCAATGGTGGAATGGACGGGAGACCTACTATGCAGGCTCTTAAGTAGTGCTTATTTTGGGGGTGGGGCTTATATTAGGCACACACGTAAAATGCTAGGGCTTATTTTTGGAATAGGTCTTACTTTTGGGGAAACAGCATATGAAATCACACATGATATATGCAACATCTGTTAAGAGATGCTTTTATCATTGTGTCACATAATTGTTTTGTTTATTTATTAATTTTATATGCTGCCCATCTCACCAATAAGGTAACTCTGGTTAGAAGTGTTAGAACTCAAGGTTGTCTACTAAACCTACAGTTGCAAGAAAAAGTATCTGAACCCCTTGGGATTATGTGGAGTTTTGCATGAATTGGTCATAAAATGTGCTCTGAACTT